TGTTACTTATTACCAGTAACTACCATGCTTCGCTAAGACACTCTACATCCTATAAATAAGGTTTATCAGAGTATAAGTTATTCCATCTTAATCATAATAAATGTACAAATACATATATGTACTTATATTTTTAAAGATCGGTAACATCATTGTGCTGTTGAAAACAACGTCGAGCTCATTTTAAATATTTTATAACTAGTACTATCTGGTGGTATCCATTTTTGTAATTCTATGTGCGTTGAACAAAGTTGATAATAAGACTGAATATAATTGATAAACTGGAAACAGAAACACATTTTCAAAGGCTGAAATAATTAAAGAAAAATTTATGGATCGAATGTCTATATAACTTTGATCATTCAGAAGCTATATCAATTGTACTTTTGTCCTTGCACATACACGTTCTAACATAACTAAAATCGATATGGCAGTATACTTGAGTTATGAAGAAATGACATATGTCAAGATAACAAAATTCGATATCATTATCTTAAAACGATTAAGATAAGAATAAGAACAAGGGACTAATAGCTTTAAATCAATAGTTTTGATGCTGGTTAATCGTGATTGATTATAAATCTGGATGCTCATTAATAAGTATGACATACAGAGAGAACCTGGGTTTCAATTCATTACTAACTTTAATAAGTTAAAATAATTTCAACATTTTTTAAACGTCATAAATACTTTTCAAATCCCACTATCGAAGATGAACAAGATTAAATATGTGATTATGGAAATAAATAGAGAAAATCACATTAATTCTATGAACTCTATAACGTTAAATTACCTTTTATCTTTGCCCACACCCAAACTAAATATATGTTACAGAACAAAACGACAGATTTTCTCAAATCTCGAGATGTTTGTGGATTGAATATCCCATCTGAACCAATTTTATCAGATTGCTGTCATTTCCATAACGGGATCGATATATTGTTCAGGAAAACCTCCCAGGCCTCCCACTGGCACAGTGGTATGTCTGCGAACTTACAACGATAGAAACCGGGTTTCGATACCCGTGGTGGGCAGAGCACAGATAGCCCATTGTGTAGCTTTTGCTTAATTATAAATAAACAGACAGAACCTCAGAGATTTCTACAATAATTAAAACAAACATTTCTAACAGTTTCGCTTTTATAATTAATAAAAATAAATAAATAAATGGGAAATTTAATTAAAAATTTAAAAATAGCGAAAATATGAACAACATTTCTTGATTAAATTAAAAACGTATCTCTTTTTTAGTTCGTTTTGTAGAAACATATTTTTAATTACACTGCTTTAACGTATTTCTGCAATATATATATAATAAATATGGCAAATATATAATGAAACAAAAGACCACAGTACAAATCTCCCATGGTGTACTTAACAAAAAATATGTTACGTGTTCTTAATTAATTTATCACTTATATGTAAAGATTCAACGTTCTTTAAATAAAATCCACTCTATGATTTATAGTAAACGACTGTTTTCTTCACTCGCAAATAGACACACAAAAACGATAAAATTACTTTTACTTTACGCTTTGAAGGTAAAGTCAAGAAACGTAAACTGCGCTAAAATATTCTGAGAGAAAAAAAATCAAAGTAATTATTGTAATAGGTTTTATTGTTGGCCGAGTTCTTTTAGATTAATCATTAAAAAGAAAAATTCTAAATCCAATCCACTTAACGATAACAAAAGTGTTTAATTTCTTCAAGATCCACGGTTAGCATAACCAGCGTTTGCCGATAGTTTTAACTTTACAAATAAACTACGTCTAACAGGAAATTCCATTCACTTGAAAAGTTTGTCTCCATTTTTTATTTGATACACAAAAGTAATATTTACAGCACTTAATCAACTGATTAGATGATGCACTGATTACTCATTAACTGACTGACAGGCTCAAAAATGATCTCTAGTCTAACTCTCTTTTATATGAGGCTCAAATTGTTACCTAAACTCTCTGGAAGGTTCTTGTCATTAAGGTCACGCTCCTCACGTTACGTTAAACCTTATACCTGCTAAACAACAATACTTGTGACTTCCATCCTCTGTACTCTCGTAAGCATGCTCTGAATATTAAAATATTTAAATAGCACAGTCGTTTTCAGCGGGCCAAAAATTGAGCTCATTCTGTTTGTTATTTCACAGTTTAGGGTAGTTTCTAATTTTCTTCAAATCGAATATGGGTAAATTCTACCTAAAGTTAATATAAAAAAATGCTGATTGCCTTACAGGCTTAGGTTTTGTGACATTGTATAACCAGTTACACTACAACTATTTTGTTTTTATTCAATGCAATTTGATTATGAGATTTCTACCCCATCAATAATGCATTACAGTATTTGGAAGATAATACTGTGATGCGTTTTCACGAGGAAGACTGAGCTACGTTAAAGAAAGTTTCAGTCTAAGAAACCATGATAGCTTCCATCTACAAGAATTTTAGAAACAGGAATTTAAGTCTATTTTATTAAATTCTCTTGAAATCATTTAGCTCGACCGAATTTTGTGATGATTATTATGAGTAACTTTACAGTACGAATTGTTTTTAATGTACCAAATAAAGTTACATCTTATACGTTTTCTGTTATAGCGTGATATAATAAAAACAAAGTTTTCTAATGCAAATCACATTGGCAAATGTGTGACAGTGGATCTAACTTAGTGTACTCTTATAGAACAAAATCAGTTTCGTATTGCGAAGAGAAGAGATGGAAAACAACTGCAATTCTGAAAAACTTTGAATATATATATAAGGAAAATATTCTGAATAAATTGCTGAAGGCTCTACTGATCACTATGTGCAACACTAATAGAGCCTACTTTGTTATTTAAATACGTTTTTGGTACTTTCTTTAAAATATAGACAATTTTGAGCTGCTGTTACTAAACGACTGATATTTCCATGCGCAAAACATATCCATAAAAACACGCGATTAATTGTAAATATCATAGAATATTATTACACTTACCAAAGAGAGTGACGGATGTATGTTTTCTGCATTTTATACCAAACAAAGTAACCCCTAGAGCCCTAAAAGGTAACTACAACATATGTTATTCCTGCATCAAATAATACAGACTTATTTTCCAGAACAAGTCATAAACAGTGGACCATATGATTTTAAAGGTAGGTAAAATGTGCTGGAAGAAATAAACAAGAAAAACATATTGTAGCCCGTAAGCGCTATGAAACATGCCAATGTATCGGGACAAACATATACACTGTTCCATGAATACACGTCTGTATGTGTGAGAGAATAAATATTATATTCTGTAAGTACCATTAGGCATACCAATGAGTCAGGGAAAACGTGTAATCTAACCAATAGATACCGCAACAAATGACAATAGATTAGAAAAAAGAACGTCAACTTCGATTTATAAGTGCTTTGAGACATGGCAAGGTGTCAGGAGAAATCTATGCTATAAGTTCTTGATCTTAATTCCTGCTTATTGATCAGTGTTACTTAAGAAACAACAGTGCGTCTTATGATTACACAGGCAAAAAACAATTCGTTAGAGGTAACATATACTGTAATCTCCGAGTACTCATAGGAAGGTCAATAGTCATATAAGCTCTGACTACCGATACTACGGATAAGAGAAATGTTTCTTTAGAAACGTCCATTTCGTTACAGTAAAAATAAGAAATGAGAATAATCAAAAGAATAGCATAAGGCTGAAACACCATTAGATAATTAAAAATGATGTATAACATAGCTCCAATAATCAATAACTTCATGCTAAGCTAGCTACCTGAAGAGTGGTGCACTGTAGCCACATCTGGTTTTTCAGGTTGTTTAGTAAGTGTATAAGAGGTTGTGTAACATTTAGTTCCAAGTTTCGTACTTTTATTTCGCTTATATCTGTGTGAGCGTCTTTTTGTGAGGTTTTCCTCTATTATCTACGATTAAAAGGAACGGGAGTAATGGGTTGTAAATTTCTCGACTTTCATGTAACCTAATTCAGAAGTCACATTTTGAAACCTACGCACGTACCAACAAATATAGTACACAATAGATTCTACTGGTAGAACTGGAACAAATGAAAGACAGCGACTATCATCTAGTGCGAATATTTGATACATGCCTTGTTTTCACAATGTTGCTACAGGATTGCCATGTTAACCACAGGGGAGAAACCGTGTCTGAGAATAACTTCACCTCGAAACTGATTATAGAAGCTTAAAATTTATATATGTATATATACATTGTTTAAGATTTAAGAAAATCCTTTAGGGGTTTAAACCCATACAAATTTACGGATAAAATTGTGCGAACAAATAATTTTATAGTAAGAAGTATGAAACTAACAATTCGTAGTTTCATCCTGTAATACTAAAATGAGCCCTTTTACGTGAGTGGCAAGATCACCTTCTGAGACCCTGTATGAAAAAATAACAACATATAAACAAGCTAATAAAAGTTATAGTACAATACCAACTTGCTAGTATAATAGTAGGTAAATAAACAATATCGTAAAGTAATCTTTATTTTAGATTACTTTACACGGTATTGCGTATTTACCTACTGTCAGAACGATATCAACTTGCTAATATTTATATGGATTTTCATATATTCGCTAGTCCTATTTCAATCAAACCAGAGGTTATTAATTCCTGCTCAAACCTTGCATGTTTTATCTTCATCAATGGTAATAAACGAATAAATCTGTCTATTTCTTTTTCTCTCTTAAAAATTAGCTCACACAAGTTTTTACATTGAATGTGATTAGTTCGTAGAATAATGTAGTTAGTGTGTATTAAAGGGAAAAATTAAGAGTGAAACTTTTTTGAATGATTCTGTAACCCTTCATTGTTATATATTTGGCATACAATACTACTGTTTTACAACAACTTATCTTTCAAACAAAGTTCACACACGTTTATGTATTTCAATAACACTATCGTGGTATATTGTAATTTTGCATAAAATTCACAAGGAGGAAAATAATAAGGTAACACGTTTTGGAAGAAAAAAGATCAGCCTTGATATAAGCAGCATTGACTATTATACTCTTAATTGGTTAATTCAAAATGAAGTTACAAACCTCAAGCATCTAGAGATTAAAGAGTAAATGGATATAACTTTTCAATATCCAGTTAATGAAAAGTAGGTTTGTTTTAAAAACTCTTCCTGCTTTGAAACAACAGGACAATTTCCTAATTGAACTGTTAAAGAATAATTTGGTTTGTCGGGGATATTCGCGCAAAGCCAAAACAATAGCTACCTGCGCTAGCCGTGCCTAATTTTGAACTGAGAAATTTGAGGGAAGGCACTCTCCGCCAGCTCTTGATCTACTCTTATGGACTAGTTGGATATAACTGTCATTTTTATAAAGCATCCACGTAAAAGATAAAGAATACAATTTTGTTATGATAATTTGTTTAAGCTAATTATTTTGAATACAAAAGCTTTTGAAATGCTTTCCTGAAATCGGGATTGAAAACTGTATAAATAACAGGGTTCAGTGCAGAATTTACATATCCGAGCCAGGTAATGAAAGTGACTGCGCGTGTAGAAATGGTACAATTGGTGCAGAATGGGAGGATGACATACATCAAGAAGAAGGGAAGCCAACAAAGAACAAATACACCCATTACGATTCCAAGTACACGGGCTGCTCGACGTTCTTTGGACAGAGATATTTTTTGTCTTTGTTCCATGTACTGCTTCACAGTCCCTGGTTGTTGTGTCTTTTGGCTGCCGTTTCGAGTTTGATGGCGATCACAGATTTTGGGGCTTTCTTCGTGTTCGTCATTTTCTGTCTCCAATAACACCGAAGCATCAAGCCTTACAGATGTGGAATTGTCAGTATTATGACATGGTTGGAGATTTTGTAGAGGTATTTCTCTCTTCTCATTGTCATTTGTCATGGTAGTTGATGCTAGTTTTGGTGCTTGCTTCGCTCGTTTTCTTAATCGACGTTTGGTCGCCTGGAATATCTTCAAATAAACCACAGTCATGATAACAAGCGGAATGAAAAAGGAACCGCTAGAGGAATATACTATGTACCCTTTTTCTTCTGTCAAAGCACATGGCGTGGTGTCTGCAAAATCTTCAGGCCAGTCATTCCAACCAATCAGCGGTGGAATGGAAATTAAAGCACTGATTCCCCAAACCAAGAAAATGGTAAGAAGAACTCTTTTCAGTGTACGTTTCTGAGCGTAGTTGATCGGATCATGAATGGCCCAATAGCGATCTAGGGCAATCACACAAAGACTCAGAATAGAAGCAGTGCAACAGAGGACGTCACACGTTAACCACATCTCGCATACCCAAAGTCCAAAAACCCAACGACCAATAATAGAATAAGTGACATTAAGTGGCATAACAAGAATGGCAACAGCAATATCAGCGCATGCCAGGGACACCAGAAATATGTTTTGTACGCTCCGGAGAGGCCTGTAGGTAAAAATAGAGATTATTACTAATATATTACCAAAGACTGTGGCAACCATGATTGCTGAAAGTAATACTGCTGTCATTACAGCCTCGACAATGGGCATTGCAAGAGGGTATCTAATTGGAAAGAAAAGGTTCGTGTCGTTGAGAATTGTTTCATTAGGCTTCTCAATGAAACCAGCTAGATCGTTGGTAATGTTCAGTTCTATATCCAACTGAAAGGGTTCCTGAATCACGTCCCGGAAAAACTGGAGTTTTGCAGGGAATTCATGAATGTGAGAAGAATGTTGTTTCATTTGATGTGGCCACATGGTTGATTATCTATTTTACTTTCCTAGAGGAAATTTTCTAGAGTTTGTTTTCGTAAAATACCAAATAATGTTGATTTATTTCACTTTCTTCGATTTTCGGTTGTCGTTTCCTGAAAAAAAAAGAGATGTAATCAACAAAATAAAACAACATACTAAAAATTAGAAATCTTATGAAAAACTTTAGCTGATTATGTTATTAAAGTCAGAAAATGTTATCTAACTTTCATTTTAAAAGCAAAAATTAATCACGTCTATAGCATCAAGTAATCTCATGTCAACAAAACACCCAGAATTAATCCTATATCAGAGAATGAGCGCAGTTTGTTTCATCTAATTGTTACATTTTGAGAACAAATTTACTTTAAAATCATATCGCTTCTTACGATAGTTTAAATTCAAAAAAACATTCCATGCTAAAACATTAACTATAGAAACTTATATATCCTAAACAAAGTTTCGTTGTTTTTTTCTGATCTTTAATTCAAAAGATATGAATTTCTTTACATTTTTGACTTTATTAAAGGCTTTTGATAAACTGTCAGTATAACTGCTTTGCCGTTTATCTTCAGCAAATTTATAGTGGTGGTGGTGATATTTCTGTTTACTTTATTATATCCTGGGCCAAGCTTGGCCCAATGATTAGTGTTTTCTGACTTTGAATACTAGGATTCATGTTTCGTGGCTTGTTTCCGCAAAAATACGCTCCACAGTTTGAGGCCGTAAATGGGCTATTTGTTGAAAGAAGAATAGCTCAAGAGTGGGTAGTGGGTGTTGTTGACTAGCTGCGCTCTCTCCAAGCTACCAATTTCAAATTAGAAACAGCTATACTTGGCGCGAAAAGATGGAAGCAACCAACACAATTATGTCCTGAACATATATATATGTATATCTGTTTAGATGAACTATCATTTCACCTTTAGCAGATACTTTCATTGAGTTATATACAGGACACCATTAATTTTTAAACGTGTGGATGGCTAAAAGGTATGCCATGCATAACACAATGATAAATTAACCCGTGTGATCCTTAGAACAGGATTTTATGCTATATATACACTGTCCGGTGTAACTATCTCGAAACCTTTTGAACATGTAGCACTCCCAACACTTCTTCAAAGAAAACTCATTGAGTGAAAATAAAGGAACACATCAGATGAGTAGCTAAGTAGTGTCGCACTGAGCGTAAAACTTCTATGCAAAGTGTGTGATTGTCTTAATCCTCATAAGTATCAAGAAAGCTTCAATGAAAATGTTCTAGCAGCCTTTACGGAATTATGGTTAGTTGGCCAAGAAGAAACATTAATTCATTAGAGGTTTAAACAAAATGTTTTATATAGAGTTGCAACTACTAATTTTTTGTTTACGATGTGAATTATTGCTAATGAGGCTTTCGTTAAAAGATATACTTCATTTAAAGTAATTATGAAAGGACTACATAAATGTAGATGAAAAACAAGTGCACAACTTAACAAAAATGATAATATTTTAAGTATTTTGTACTGGAGTACATCAACAAAGCCCATATAATAGAAATCATAACTTACGTATATCAAACTCATTTGTATACTAAGAAATTAATGAGTTGACTAGCCCCCCCCCCCC